AAACAAACAAACAAACAAACAAACAGAAAACCCATAAATTCTAAGTCTAAAGATTTTGTTTCCAGGGGAGTCACTAAGCTTCCTTCTTCCAAAACACTGAGAATTGTCATTCCAGGGAGTAAGAAAAAAGCAAAACAAAACATCTACAACACACTCAACTCTGTACCATTATCTTGTCTCTGAAAATAATGACAGCAGGATCATAGGCATGAGCCAAGAACCCTCCCCTCCACTTGTCTCCTTACTGAGATAGCCTCGTACCATTCCCTTGGTGGGGAGAGCTGGGGAGTGAAGCATTTCTAGAAAAAGTAAAAGCAATTATACCCAGAGTAAATAAGACTTGGGAGTCTGAAATCATGCTATGCCCCAGATTTTACTCAGTGCACAGTAAGATACTCAGATTTGCAATTCCTCCTCATGTTCTGAGCCTGTCCAAGTGTGGGGTAATTCAGTTACATCCACTGCTTTTGTCAGTACACAGTTACAAAACTTTATTCGAATACAACATGAGAAACCGGGCTGCCCATCACAAAATTCACATAGCAAAAATATACCTTTATTACTGTTAGGAGGAACAAAGGCCATGATTCTCCAATGGTAAAAAAGAATTGATCATGGTCAAGAGACCATTTAAACCAGAACTGAAGAAACTCTTTACTCGTGTGAATTATAAGAAATGATTAAAAGCCACTATGTGCTAGGCTCTGTCAGGGGCTAGAATATAAATGAACCTTGGTGCCTGCTCACAAGACGTTTACAATCAATTAGGGAAACCGAAAGTAAATACATTTAAGATTGTACAATGTTCTAGGATTTAAATTGTGCGTCCACGGTGCAAAGAGAGTGGATGGAGTCATCTGGGTAGAGGGTCAGGAAGCCTTCTTCAGACAGAAGATGGCCTTTGCCATGAGGACTGTCCAACAGACACATGGTGTGGGACAGGCACTCAGGCAGAAGCAAGAATGGGAGCAAAGACACAGTGGTAGAGATTTGCCTGGCTAGTTAGGCCTACCATCATTTATATAGGCAAAGGCTACTATGGCGGGGGGATGGGAGATGGAAAGAGGGAAAGAAGAGTCAGTAGCAAGAGATAAAGTCACGGAGATAGGCTGCAGGCCAGGTATGGTCCCTGAAGCACTCAGAACTCTGGTTAGGAAGATCATCCTAGCAACTGGCACAGAATATGGGTTTGAAGGTTCCAGACATTAGCAAGGAAGCCACTAAGATAATATTGTGACAATATAGACGAATGAATTGGAGGGAATAAGAATGCTTAAGGAGTTAGAATATAGAGTGTGATGTCTACATGGGTCTGAGCTCAGCCACCCAGATCTCACTGCCTACTGCATATGTCCTCCTAGACAGATGTCCTACATGCGTGTAAGAGTCTGGATGGTCTAGATGCCTGCCCCTGCACAGACTTGCACTATCTATCTCCTTAATGACGCCACTGTCTACTCCCACTCAAGGCAGAAACCTCCCTCTTCCTTGGAGAAGGTCAAGTTGATTTTAGTTCCAAAGTAACTCATTCAAACTGTTCCATTTCATTGCCACTCCCACTCCCCTAGTTCAAGTTACCTCCATTTCTCTTTTATTTTTGCCCACATTTTATTTTTGCCTCCAGTCTTGATTTCTCACATTGGTTTTCTAGTGGGACAATGATTTGTCTAAACTTCATTCTCATCTTGATTTAAAATACTTCAGAAATTCTTCACTGCCTTTAGGTCCAACAGACCTCTTCGGATGGCTTAAGACATCCCCACTGAACTAGCACATTGGCCTCACAAGCCATGTTCCGTTTGCCAGTCCCGGCCTTGGCCATCCTATACTAGTGTGGCTCCCCGAACAAAGCATGCACCGTTATACCTTTGCTCTCGTGGTTCCCTCCACATGAGGTAGTACTCTCCATCTCTTCCCTTCACCGGGTTAACTAGTACTATTCAACAGCTCTGAGCCTAGATGTCACTTCCTCCAGGAAGCTTTCTTGACCTGACCCCCACATCTGTGTTGGTGACTTTCCTCTGTGTTCCCAGCATACTCAATCAAGACACACGCCAAGTGACTTGGAAACTGCCTGGTATTTGTCTCTTCACCCCACACCCCACTACCACCTCTACTTTTGATCTCTAGACAGTGAACTCCTCAATGTTAGGACCCATGAGCAACTTGTCTTCTTGAGGAATCCCCATCCTTTGGCTCACAGCTGGGTATTTGATGGTTACTCAGGAAATGTGCAGCCTCGGGGACTGAGACAAGCAAAGGTCCAGAGACAGAGTCATGGGGGTCCTGTGCATTTGATGGGCAGGCAGAGAAGAAACCCTCCAGAGAGATTAAGAGCAACTGTCAGCAACAGAGCCAAGACAGATCACTGGCTGCTGGGCAACAGAGGCCTGGTCACTAGAGAGTGTCAGGTGTCAAGGGCAAGGTCAGTGAGACAAAGGATCAGGAAAGTGCTCTGCATTTGGCAAGACAGCTTCCAGAAAGCAATGGAGAAACATCTTGGAGCAGGCGGCTGAAAAGTGAGTGGCAGGCAAGATTAACACAGGGCAAAAAACAACTTGGGAACACATGGCTAGAAAGTGGGTGAGGGACCATGACACCTGGGAGTGACAAGGGCAACGAGGGAATATTTGTGCATATATACATGTGTGTTTGTGTGTGTGAGTTACAGTTATTTAAAGTCTCAACTATAAAACTGACTGGCAAAGAGAGTGAATAGTGAGGCAATATTCAGGTACAGAATAAGCATTTATCAAATGAAAGATATAAATAACAAATGAAAAACTGCATTCATAGAGAAGATATACATCCTCAAAACAGATTTTTATCAAAATGTAAACTGAAAAGATTGAGCCCATCTTAATGTTTCAGAAAAGACCACTGAGCTCATAAATCAAAATTTAATTAGCTGTCCAGATCACTATTTCCACTACCTATAGCACTACTGCCATATCATGGAGATATCTATTTTCAAAGTCACCCTAAAATTTCCTTGCAGAGATCTTCAGACTTTATATATGCTCTACTAACCCCATGCATTCACATAAATAGCCTTAGCTTTCTATCTAGTAAATGCCCCAAAGTCAAATGGGACACAGAAAAAAATTAGGGAAAGGACACTTCTGAGAAACCAATAAAGTCATCTGAGATACAGGAAAGTCTAACCAATAAAGAAAAGTGCCTGTGGACCAAAAGCCACACTTTTCTTTACAAATAGGTTTTTTCTTTTAAGTCCTTATCAAATATAAAGTTTTGTCAGGCTGCCATGGTATTCATTTCACTTACAATGTTTAAAGAACACATTGAGGAAAACAGACTTAAAACACTAAATTACTTTTCATGAGACATATGCTTCTTATGCAATTAACAATACATTCAGCATCAATAAGCTCCAATTTTAGAAACACTCATCCATGAACATTAATCAGTTAATGGTAAATTCAATTTCTACTTAGCTTCTACTTTTCACGCTCAACTCTCCAAGGCTATACTACATGGTATCTCAAAAATATTAATTTACTTACTACAAAAGCAGATTACATTCTTAGAAACCATCTGTGCAACAAATATATTTGCATGTAAGTCAAATCAAAGTTTTATGGAAAAACAATTTTCTTATGTGGGACTGTATTTCTGACCAAACACCTGATCCCAAACCTTTCAGAGAAATGACAATAAAATTATCTGTATAATCAGATTGCAAATAATATTTCAGAATAGGTCAAAGTTTCCCAAAATGCATATATATAGAACAACACACAGATTTACAATATATTGCCTACACAGAACTCAGTGATCTGGCATGGCCTTATTCAAGGAGGTCACTGCTGGGTGGTACAGTTTTTCACTGTACAGATGGTCCCAGAGATTACAGATTTTGGCCAGGAGCACACCACTAGGCATGATGACAACCGAAGAAACATGTCCACACATTGCCAAATGCTCTCTAGGGGAATAATTACTGTCCCAACTAAGAACCGTCACGTCTCTCTGGTTTACAGAGGAAACTTGAGCCCAGACCAAAGGAACTGCCCACACTGACATCACTGGATGGTGATAGTGCCAGGCCTCCAACCCAGGTCTCCAGGGAGCCAGTGCCACAGAGAATCCAACAGAGAATGTGAGATTAATGGACATGCTCTTACTATATTTTAAGTTCAGCCTTACTCTTCCTGCTTTAGGCGACTTGTTCATCAAATACTTTCTAAGCTTACATCTAGTCATCATTTTAACCACTCACCAATTCCCCTGCCCCATTTATTCATATCCTTCCCTGATCTCAATCTTGGATCTACCTCATCTTGACTGAGTCTGGGTTCTTCTCCCTGAGGACAGGGTAGAGGTGTCAGCACAAATCCAGGGCTCCAACCGAGTAGCCCTGATAGATGAGCATTCTCTGCCACTGTCACCTTAGGCTCCCATTCATTCATACTCGATTTCTTCCATGCCAGCACTGCCTAGTCAGCAGGTGGCATCTTCCATTTCACAGAGAAAATAGAGTCCCCCACTTCCTTCTGCTCCACCCACAAATTAATCTACCTTTTTGACTGAAATTTGACTAGTCTGACGTGAAATGTAAGAAGGCATTTCTCTGCCTTCCCCATCTCTCCTATTTTTCTTTGTTTCTGTTTATCTTATTGTTCCTCCAGCATCAGACTAAACAGCCATTGAATTTGGAGTCATGTAGGTTTTTGGTAGGTAGTTCATTTTTGTTCCTTGTTATTTAAGAGTTTTTGTCATAATTCAATATTGGACTATATGAAATGGTTTTCCAGTATCTAATGTATTTTTTAACGCCATCAAAAGAAAATAATTAAAAGTTAAAATCCCCATTTCAGTCCCGATTGAGCTCAATTCTGATTTTTTTTTTTTTTTTTTAGTTTACTAAGAAAGCCAGAAAATATGGGATGACTCATCTAAAGCTAATCCCTCCGTATTTGTGCGTTTGAAATTAACATTGAGTAGGAAACACAATATCTGAAAAAGGCCTTCATACTTACCCGGATGTAGGCATCTTGGTGGTGCTTGGCAAAGTACAGCATGTTGTCCAGAGCCAACATCCCAGGTGGAGTCTGCGTGAAGTCCATGGCAGGGTTGACATGATTCTGTGAGTAAAACAAAATGCATGATAAGGTGGATTCTTCAGCAGATTTCACCAACCACCAGAGATCCAATTTCCCTCCTCGAGAGTGAAGTACTACAAGGCAAGCTACAAATAATCAAACATGATGACATTTTCTATCTCCATGTAAACCTACTGAGGTGGATGCAGCAACTTCTTTCTACTGCTCCTCAGGATAGCAAAACCAGATTTATACCTGGGATTAGGAAACCGAGCTAAAGATTCAAATACAGGATTATTCTTAGACATGTGACATTGTGAGAAAAAGAAAATGATACGAAAATTATTTCTGGTAGCTGCACTAAAATGAAACCAACAGCATTTGGGTAGAAAAAGCTGGGATAAAGCCACACCTCTGGTATTTAATTTGGAAGCTGACTCCAAGGAAACTATAGCCTATTCACACCTTGACTCCAGATCCTTATGTGGAGGTTAAATGCAGCCGCATGCATTGATGGACTTTGTGAACTGTCCAGGTTTACACAGTCCACAGGCCTCTGAGCACAGACACCGGATAAAGTTCAGATATCCACAGCATCCTGACATCTGTCTGCTCTCAGGAAGTCTGAGAACCTTCCTCTCTGGTCTTTAGGGTCACCACACACAGCACACAGAACCCCAAAGATGAAATAATAGTTGCAGATATGCAGAACTCAAACACCTCAGCAAATGAAAAACAATCCAGTTTAAAAGTGGGCAAAAGACATGATTAGACATTTTTCAAAAGAAGACACACAAATGGCCAACAAGCATATAATGCTCAACATCAGTAATCATCGGAGAAATGCAAATGAAAACAACCATGAGATACCATCTCACACCAGTCAGAATGGTTACTAGTAAAAAGACAAAGAATAACAGATGGCAAGAAAAGGGAAAAAAGAAAATGCTTATATACTGTTGATGGGAATGTAAATTAGTGCAACCTCTATGGAAAACACTATGGAGATTTCTCAAGAACTAAAAATAGAACTACCATTCAATCCAGCAATTCCACTACTGGGTATCTACATAAAGGAAAAGAAATCATTGGCTGGGCACAGTGGCTCGCTCCTGTAGTCCACTTTGGGAGGCTGAGGCGGGTGGATCATGAGGTCAGGAGTTTGAGACCAGCCTGGCCAACATGGTGAAACCCCTAAAGATACAACAAATTAGGTAGGTGTGGTGGCACGGGCCTGTAATCCCAGCTACTCAAAAGGTAGAGCAGGCGAATTGCTTGAATCTGGAGGCCGGAGGTTGCAGTGAGTCCAGATTACGCCATTGCACTCCAACCTGAGCAACAAGGCAAGACTCTTCCTGTTCCAAAAAAAAAAAAAAAAGAAAGAAATCATTATACCAAAAATCACCTGCACTCTTATGTTTATTGCAGTACTATTCACTATAGCAAAGATAGAGAATGCACCTATGTGTCCACCAATGGATGACTGGATCAAGAAAATGTGGTACATATACATAATGGGATACTATTTAGTCATAAAAAAAGAATGAAATCATATCTTTTGTAGCAACATGAATGGAACTGGAAGCCATTATTTTAAGTGAAATAACTCAGAAACAGAAAGTCAAATGTCACATATTCTCACATAGAAGTGGGAGCTAAATGATGTGCACACGTGGGTATAGGGTGTGGAATGATAGACAACGCAGACTCAGAAGGCTGGGAATTGATGGGATGACAAGAAATTGCTTACTGAGTACAATGCACTATGTAGGTGATGGGTACACTAAAAGCTCTGACCTCCCCACTATGCAGTATATCTATGTAACAAAAGTACACTTGTACCCCATAAATTTACCCAAATAAAAAATAGTTACAAATATGCCTAAGAGGAGAAGGCCTGGCTGATCTGAACTCTCCATATACTTGAGATCACCCAGCAAAAACACCACAAGACTCTTAGTAAGATTAGCAATTTACTCTTCACCATTAATTACTGAAAGCAACGACCAAGAACTATTCTGAAAATGCAGATCTGCCATTTTTTCCAAGAGGGTGGATAAGAGGCAGGATTAGTTGCAGCTTCCACTTGGAAGGATAGAGCAGCATGTGAAGACTTACACCATGAACTTTTCTTCCAAGAACTAACACAGGAACATACCAGGAAAGCTGAGATAATTCACAGACGCTTTGAAGGAACTGTATCACCACTGCAGGCTCCCTGGGAGGCAACCAGCACACTAAACAAAAACATAACCAAGGACCCACACCACTTCACTCCCCTACTAACTCCACTGAAGCAGGTGCAGTTATCCATGGCTGCAAGACCTGAAGACCGATCATATCACAGGACTCTTTGCAGACACGTGCCAGTACCAGCACGGAGCTGGGTAGCTCTGTTGGGTGGCTAGACCTAGAAGAGCAAACACAATCACTACAGTTTGGCTCTTAGGAAATCACATTCTTAGGAGAAGGGGGAGAACACCACATCAAGGGAGCACTCTGTAAGACAAAAGAATTTGAACAGTAGTCCTTGAGTCTCAGATCTTCCCTGTGACTTAGTCTACCCAAATGAGAGGGAACCAGAAAAACAATTCTGGTAATATGACAAAACAAGCTTCTTTAATACCACAAAAGATTATACCAGCTCACTGGCAATGGATCCAAACCAAGACAAAATATCCGAATTGCCAGAGTAAGAATTCAGAAAGTGGATTATTAAGTTACTCAAGGAGGCAGCAGAGAAAGGTGGAGTCCAAGTTAAAGAAATAAAAAACAGGATACAGGATACAGGAAAGAAAAATTCTTCAATGAAATAGATAGCATAAATAAAAACAATCAGAACTTCTGGGAACCAAGGACACAGTTAGAGAAATGCAAAATTCACTGCAAAGTAACAGCAATAGAATTGAACGAGCAGAATAAAGAACATCAAAGCTCAAAGACAAGGCTTTCAAATTAACCTAATCCGTCAAAGACAAAGAAAAAATAATTTAAAAAATGAACAAAGCCTCCAAGAAGTATGGGACTATGTTAAACATCCAAACCTAAGAATAATTGGTGTTCCTAAGGAAAAAGAGAAATCTAAAAGTTTGGAAAACATATTTGTGGCAGTAATTGAGGACAACTTCCCTGGCCTTGCTAGAAATCTAGACATCCAAATACAAGAAGCTCAAAGAACACCTGGGAAACTCATCACAAAAATATTATCACCTAGGCACATAGTTAACAAGTTATCTAAAGTTAAGACAAAAGAAAATCTGAAGAGCTATGAGGCAAAAGCATCAGGTAACCTATAACGGAAAACCTATCAAATTAACAGCAGATTTCTCAGCAGAAAACTTACAGGCTACAAGGGATTGAGGTCCTATTTTCAGCCTCCTTCAACAAAACAATTATCAGCCAAGAATTTTGTATCCAGTGAAACTAAGCTTCATAAGTGAAGGAAAGATACAGTCTTCTCCAAACAAACAAATGCTGAGAGAATTCACCACTACCAAATCAGCACTATAAGAACTGCTAAAAGGAGCTCTAAATCTTGAAACAAATCCTTGAAAAAACAAACAAAATAGAACCTCCTTAAAGCATCTATCTCAGAAGACCTTAAAGCATAAATCTCATAATACATATATATTGTGTATATAACAATAACACAATGAAGAAAAACACAAAGTATTCAGGCAACTAATAGCACAATGAATAGAATAGTACCTCACATCTCAATACTAGCACTGAATGTAAATGGCCTCAATGCTTCACTGAAAAGATACAGAATGGTAGAAGGGATAAGAATTCACGAACCAAGTTTCTGCTGCTTTAAAGAGACTCATCTAACACATAAGAACTCACATACATTTAAGTTAAAGGGGTAGAAAAAGATATTCCATGAAAATGGACAACAAAAGCCAGCAGGAGTAGCTATTCTTACATCAGACAAAACAAACTTTAAAGCAACAGCAGTTAAAAAAGACAAAGAAGGATATTATATAATATTAAAAGGACTAGTCCAACAGGGAAATATCACAATACTAAATATATATGCATCTAACACTGGATCTCCCAAATTTATAAAACTATTACTACTAGACCGAAGAAATGATATAGACGGCAACACAATAATAGTGGGGGACTTTAATACTCACTGACAGCACTAGAAAGGTCATCAAGACAGAACATCAACAAAGAAACAATGGACTTAAACTATACCCTACAACAAATAGACTTAATGGATATTTACAGAACCTTCTACCCAATAACTGCAGAACACACATTCTATTCATCAGCACATGAACGCTCTCCAAGACAGATCATATGATAGGCCACAAAACAAGTCTCAGTAAATTTTTTTTCTTTTCTTTTTTCTTTTTTTTTTTTTTTGAGGCAGAGTCTCACTCTGTCACCAGGCTGGAGTGCAATGGTGCAATCTCACTCACTGCAACCTCCACCTCCCAGGTTCAAGCAATTCTCCTGCCTCAGCCTCCCGAGTAGCCGGGATTACAGTCGCATGCCACCACGCCCAGCTACTTTTTGTATTTTTAGTAGAGACGGGGTTTTGCCATGTTGACCAGGCTGTTTTGAACTTCTGACCTCAGGTGATCCGCCCACCTTGGCCTCCAAAAGTGCTGGGATTACAGGCATAAGCCACTGTGCCCGGCCCAAGTCTCAGTAAATTTAAGAAAACTGAAATTATATCAAGTACTCTCTCAGACCACAGTGGAATAAAATTGGAAATCAACCCCAACAGGAATCCACAAAACTATGCATACACATGGAAATTAAATAACCTGCTCCTGAATGATCACTGGGTCAACAGGGAAATCAAGATGGAAATTAAAAAATTATTTGAACTGAATGATAATAGTGACACAACCATCAAAACCTCTGGGATACAGCAATGGTGGTGCTAAGAGGAAAGCTCATAGGATTAAATGCCTACATCAAAAGTCTGAAAGAGCACACACAGACAATCTAAGGTCACACCTCATGGACCTGGAGAAACAAGAACAATCCAAACCCAAACCCAGCAGAAGAAAAGAAATAATGAA